CCCAAGGGCATGATGTCTTTGAATGCCAGCAGTAACTTGGGGGGGGTGTCTCATTGAGGGCCATTGCCCTGCGGCAGCAGAGACTCGTTGAAGAAGCGCTCGAGGAAGCGGTACCCATCAGAAACACCAGCCTTTGGCCGGTTGGGTTTGTCAAATGGCTCGGTTCGCTCCTGCATCACCGTCTAATGGGATTCAACACTGCACTCAAATATACTCTTATGCTTGGATGGGAAGGAGGGGCGAAAAGGAAGCGTATGAATAATGCGCTGAGGCATCCTCGTCAGCTCTCAGGCTGTTTGCTCCCAATTTGCATATGCTCCAAGTTGTAAGAAAACACTTTGCACAGCAGTGTAGCATTTAGCAGAAATTACATTATAATTTCAGATGTGGAAACTTCTATTCCAGGTCTGAGGCTGTGAGATGTCCCATTGGGCTGCGCAGTCGTTATCTTAAACAATTGAAATGCATGCTCGCACTTAATCAAAGTCAAGGGGAGATGTTACTCCAGCCTCCACTCACCAATTCAACCCAAAGTGGAGCAAGAATATTAAATGAAATTAGAAACAATGTTATTTCCCAATAATTTCTTTATGAGCTGGAGTTTGGCCAGAGTGTTTTTCAGAGGTTGCATACTTGAGCCAACACCTCTTTCTCTCTCTGTAAAGCAAACTTGCCCCCAAAGCAAGCCCCTTCTCCGAGGTGGGGAGTGTTCAGGTACATTTGGGATCCGTGCTCACACTTTTCTTCCAGCTCCCTCCTGCTGCCAAGCAGCCAAAAAGACTTCGGTGGCCCCTCAGAGGACCTCTTGCCATGCCGGCAGCTGCGGCAGCTGTTTCATTGCCTTGGTTTCTGCCAGGGACTGGCTCCTGCCGGGAAGCAGAGGCTGCAGGGATGGAGCCTGCCTTTGCTTCCTCCAGTGTGGGTGTCGGGGCTTGGAGATGGGTGAGAACTGGGGCTTGAAGCTGAGGACTTGCATCACTTTTTCCTTTAGTGTGTTTCCTTGCCAGAGTTTGATTTTTTTTTTGGGGGGGTACCCGACAGGAATGGTAAACACCAGTGCAGAAATACTCGCTGAGACCTTTCTGCAAATTCAAATGTTGAAGCTTCTGCCACATTTTTGTTTGTGAGGTGATGAAATACTGCTATGATGTCAGCCGGACGATGGCAGCCTTTATTTCAGCCTGGAGCCGGGCCGGCCACGCTTCAGCACAGCTGTCACCTACTGCCAGTAGTCCCCCCCCAAATGCTTTTGTAATTTGACTGGACACCCGGGATTTAACCAACATTTTGATGACAATGATGGTGCTCAGGCTATAATCCAAGGAGTTTTCAAGTGAATGGTCTGGCCATGAAAGTCCAAATGCCAACGCGAGCAGTAATTACAGCCTTTGCTTCATTTTCAACCCCATCATCTCAAGTGGAAGCTGTCTTGAGTGGCAGCGGAGGTCACAGTTACATTTCATAGAGGAAGAGTAACAGTGGGAAGATAGAGATGGCAAAGGACGTCTGTCTTCTAGCATCTTGTGCTTGGTAAGGTCATAGGCAGTGCAAACTCACAGCCCTGTCTGATCCATTCACGGTTATAGGCCGGCGCACATCACGTCTCCTGGGACTTGGGAAACATTTTTTCCCTGCTCTTTCTATGTATCCTAGGTTATACTGTCTCTGCTAGGTAAGATGAGGCCAAAAAAAACCTGAAGAGAGCAAGAAACAGGGAACAGAAACTGGGAAGCCAAGCGCTACAAGTAAAGAGCAGAACAGGAATTGTAACTGGAGCCTGAAGCATTGCCAAGGGCAGGAGCTGAGTGGGAAAAGAAAAAGTTACAGTTCACTAACAAAGAGTACATTTAAGTTCCTCTTCTGGATTTTCACCAAGACAAAATTTGCTTTCTCTGTATGTGCGTGGAAAGCAACTCTTGCAGGGAACATTTAGAAAGCAAAATTGTTTGTTTCCAACCGCTCTGTGGAAGAGAGACAGCCCAAAAGGAAGAGAACAGACTAAAATCATGTTCCACAGAAGAGGACTCTCTGGATTTGTCCATTTTTCTGTTTCTTGGTGCTGGTCCCTCGCCAGGGAAAGCCCATGCTGTCAGGCAGCAGAACCTGGTCAATGGGACGTGGGAACCGAGCGGTGGGAACCTGCATGTTACAGCCCATCGGACTGCACAAGGTTGGCACATCCCCCTGGGTGGTATTTTTATTCAAATACATAATGCTAATTTGTCCCGCTGGTCGGGGTATGTTTGATTCTAGGAAAAGAGATCAAGCATGAAACCAGGGGCTCGATCAAACGCGGACTGGAAAGGATTGCTGGTGAACGACTATGAAAGGGACCAAGGGCAGGCTGCAACCACCTGCTTGCCCAGAATGGATTTTGAGGCTGGAGGTGTCTTTAGCAACCCGGGTGAATCTGGGCAGCGAGGAGCGTGGCTGGAGGGACGTTGCCTGACCTGGGGGAGGTTCACACCCACCGCCCCAAAGCATGCAGCCCTTGCAACCCAGTGCTTCCTCCTCGTGATGGTGGCCCCTTCCCAGACCTCTCACATGGTGGGTTTCCAACCAGAAGGGTTTGGGTTGTCAGTTCCCACGCTGGGCATTTTGGAGGTTGCGTGATGGACAGGTGATGAGGGAAGGAAAGCATTCCTGGGCCGATGGTGCAAAAAAGCTATCTGGCAGCTCTCCTCCCGCATCTCCTGCCCGTCCTGTTTCAAGGTCCCCGTCCCCACGATGCTGGGTGATGGCAGGGGGCTGCAGCTGAGAGGAGTGGGGCAGAAAGGAGGTGGGAAGCATGAGAGTCTCACAGGAGTGTTTTTCCAAGCCTGGTGCCAATTTCTGTGGCCCTCAAAGGTGTTGAAAGGCTAATTATGTGACATGCTGTGAGGGGCTTGGGCACAGCTGCTGGGGTATCTGTAAGCAAAGCCAGCAATTTAATTAAAAAAGAGGCAGGTTCCCTCACATGCATCATCTCCACTTACTTATTTCGGACCGCGTGATCTACCTGCTCCGTGATGCTTATTTCACTGCTAGTATGGAGGATTAGTCTACTTTTTTTTTTCCTCTCTTTCCCCTCTGCTGCTCCTTCTGCCAGCGCTTGCTCTGATCTTCACTTTATTTCCAAGCATCAAACAGCAGCTTTTTCACCTGAGGCTTTCCCGTTTCCCTGGAAATTCACTTCCCACCCTGGTGCTGATGGACTTGGTGCGGACCTTGGCCTCTCCGGTCTCAACTCCTACTTTGAGAGGACGGAGCATCTCCCACCTCCGCGAAGGGGGTGCAGGGCTCTTCCTCCACCCGCCAAGGCGCCGAGCACCCTTGGTTAAGGAAGATAATGTCACCAAAGACTTTCCCATGCCACAGCCCGGGCCAGGACTGTGCTCGGTCCCTGGTAGAAAGAGGTGTTTCCACGGTGCTTCAGCCTCACGGTTTTAATAACAGCAGCAGCTCGCTTGGAGAGTTGTCAGTAGTGATAAACTCAGTCCCATTCTGTTTCAAAATTGGTTTAAGAAAGATGCCTGGCTGTTTAATATTTAAGCTAAATGTTTAATGTTTAAACAGGGAAATTGTTCTGATTGTCAGAAAGGGCATTAAAGCAGGATGGAAACTGGTCTATAATCTCTGACAAATGCTGCCCTTTCTCTGCAGCAGCGTGGTGCCTGGGAGCTGCAGGAGTTTCAGAAATGCCAATTTTAATCAATGTCTTTCATTTCATTTGCCGCTTACCAGTCCCACAGCAGCGAGACGTGCTTTTTCCCTGTGAAGCAGGAAATCTTGTACCTGGCCCCGTTTAACAGTTTGAGACTAGTACAGCTGAATTGACCCTGCACTTCAAAACCCAAACAAATTGCAGTAGAAATGTGCGAGGATAAGGTGAAAAACGAAGCTGGATGGTGTTGGCCCATGGGTGTATTCCGGATGATTTGGGGTCCCTTTTGCACATGCACCCAAAAGCTGTGAAATTCAGATGTCAAGTTTAAAGTCAGCAGAAAAACGAATGGCTGTAACTGTCACAAATACCTGTGTGGATCAATATTTTTGAACAGATACGGACAGTGTTTTTCAGGAGGTCGAAATATCCCCCTGGGGGAAGTGTGTAACAGGGCAGAACCATTTCACAAGGCTTCTCAGGAGCGAGCCCGGGCTCCCTCGCCGAGCCCTCGGGTGGGCGTTGCGGCTGTGCCAGGCTGCAGGCACGGGGCAGTCCTAGCGCAGGGATCCCTGCTCGCTAACGGCTGCGGAGAACATATTCAGGAGGGAGACAAACAGCAATTCATGTTAGTCACATCCCGCCCCCCTTAAAATATTCTTAAGGTGGATGCTAAACTGACCTGTCAGCTGACCTGTCAAAAATCCTTTAAACAAGCATTTAATACTACAGTTTAGTGTGTTCAAAACCCAGCATTGCTGCTTCCTACTGAGACTGTTCTCTCCTCTCCAGTGAGGGTAATTTGAAGTGCATGTGTAAGTTCAAGACAGATGGGAAAGCTGAAGCTGAAAATGTAGATAGTCTTCTTATAAATAATCTGTTCAGGCTTTTTTTCCTCCCAGAGAAACTGGTAGTGGCTGGCTGATCCTCACACAGAATGGCTGCAAACAGTGAAAAAACATAGCTCAGGAGACAGGTTCTGTCCGTACAACCTCTTCTGTGCGGTGCTTAGCACAGGCACCGTGAGCACCTGCTCACATCTGATGGCCGCCTGAAGTCCCCCTTCCCTCTAGAAACAGCTTTTGGTTTGGAGCCCACCAGCACCCAGGCTGAGACTGGCCTGCACTTACAGCGTCAATAAGGGGTTTGTACAAAAAAAGTGAGAGGACGTACAACTGCGGTTGAAACAGAGGCCAGGAACGAAGTCGACTTGGGTAGGCAGGTATTTCTGTTGGGGTGTACATGTGGATCACATCGAGCAGAGCAAGGGGTTGGTGGCGGCTGCATGTGGTGGCCCTAGTGATTTAACACGCTAGAGAAACACCGCCTTCCACAAACTCACAAAAATGACGCGAGAAAGAATCAGCAGAAAAGTTTATAGAAGAGCTCCTCTTATCAAGGTTTCAGGACTATTCAAAGGCACATTTCACCCATGTTGAATGACAGTTGAGTTCATGGACACATACAATGCTCACATTTCATGGCAAAAAAGACCACATAATGATGGTACGTTGTGAAACATATATTCCGGACTTCAGTTCAACACTAAAGTGATTATTTTAAATGTATCATGTACATAATAAGAGCAGAACAGGCAGATGCACCCAATTACTGTAATTTACAAGGCAGTAATTCAGGCCCCAAATATATTTCTCCTTCTTGGACGAAGGCGGTACAGATTACGAGCAAAACGAGGGGCAGCGAATTGACAGGGAGCCAGGAAGCTGCTGCCGTTTGGAAAATAACAGCCAGCACCTGCTGCAAGTCGGAGGGGCTTTAACTTTCCTAATTCATTTCACTCCATTTTAACGGTAAACGGCTGGGTGGGATGGGATGCTCTTGGGCCAGGAAGTAACCGAGAGCCGCGCCGTGGCCGTGCCGCACCGACGCAGGCACCCTGCAGAACAGCTAAGTGCAGATGTTTGCTCGGTAGCGGGCAGAATAAAGTCCACTCGCGGTTCCTCTCTCATCATTTAGTGAGCTGCTTCGTGCTAATTACCTCTTTTCATCCAGCTTGTGGTTAAGTTTCATGTTGTGATGATTAATAATTAATCAAACACATTTGAAAATTAATTTGGCAATTCTACGTCTGATTGGCATGCTAATCTCTTCTGTGCAGCAGAGATGTTATGGGAATAACCTCGGATATTCTGAGCTGCTAACTGAGGTGAATACATAAGGGCATTTATTATCTCATGTGGTAAAAGATAAAGCGGCAAGTGGAAATGAATGCATTCTCCAAGGCCTCTTTGCCTTTTGGGAAAGGTGTGATCTGCATTTTGCCTTGCCTGTATCAGGAATATACCATCGATATTATCATGTCCAATCAAAACAAATGGACAAGGAAAAGGCAATTTTGAAAAACGCCCCCACAGTTGATTTATTTCTGTTTAGTTGGTAGCAATTCCAGTAGATCTGATGCATTAATTATGGTACTAAAAAGAAAAATCACAAGGAAAACAACTTTTGCCCTTTCTAGCTGCCCATGCCACTTCCCTCCAAAAATAACACTCATCTGGTAAAAGGGAAGAAGAGGGAGTACGCAGCTTCCACTGGATGTGTGCTTCCCACTAGTTTCGAATTAGGAGTCCCTTTTTATAGGCAAACAGCCCGGCAGCGGCCACAGAGGCGAAACAGGCGGTAGAGCTAAGCAGGCACAGCAGTCCTGGCACGGACGGCAGGTTCCTCTCCCAGAAGGTGGTGGTGAACGGTCGGGCTGGGACATCCTGGGGGAGAGAGGAGATGGTACCACCACAGCATCTCCTTCCCTGCGTGAGCGGGGAGGCAGCAAACGTCCCTCACTAGGCTGGGGAGATCACAGGTTTTTCCCTGAGGACCAGACCCCCGGGGGAAGGAGGGTCATGGCTGTGAAACACGTGTTTTCTGTCATCCTGAACAGCCACGGGACAGTGAAGGTGGAGTTACTTGTGACTGGAAGGAGGTTATATTTGGCTTAAAACCATGGCCTGGGACTGGGCAGAACTAGCTTGATTTCCTGCGTTTTGCCGTCCCCCAGGCTCCGAGATCTTTGTCCCTAGCTCTTGACCACCCACCCCTCAGACAGGGGTAATAATATTCCTCAGATGAGTCAAAAAAATGAATACCATCAGCATGTGAGGTAAGCAAAACCTCACCCAGGGGCAGCCCCCACAGGAATCACCGAAGCAGGGACCGCAGTCTGACTGAGAGCTGCGCGCCTGACCGGGTGACAACGAGAACGTCTGGCTTACCTTTGACTCTGGCTCTGGCATCCAAATGTCTTTCTCTGAGATCCTCCCCATATTATGCAATATCTAGAAGAAAAAATTATTTGTACCACGTGAGAAAAAAATTAAAACCCATGCTACTTTCAGTTTTGGAAAAGCAGAGCAAGTCAGAGCAAGGTGACATTGATAAAAGGCCTAACTATGACTAGCTGAAAGTGCTTTGAACCAGAAAATGTATAGTGATTTCTCTGTCTACATCAGCAAAGACAGGAGGAGGAGGAGGCAGTTTTGGTAGCTGGTGTAAATATATGACAGCTCGTCATCAAACGGTCGTGTGCCTAACCAGTGTTTTAAGGATAAAAGGACAGTTTCAGAGAGTCATTTGTAAAAAGCAGGACTTCGCTCAGAAATCCACAGGAACTACAGCTTCTCCGGGTAAGTTTATTTTCAATTTTTTTCTGAGTAGGATTAAAAATGCTTTTTTACATGACAGTTTGAGAAATAGCAAGATCAGGACACAGAGCCTGTTAGGAGTGATGCTGTTTGCATCCCAACTGGAAAGAGGAGAGATACAACTCTGGGGCTTTCCAAGCATACAGTTAGGAAGTTCTCTCTTGGCTATTCAGGCAGTACAAAGCTCTTCAAGGATTTTTCTTGAGAAAAAACTGATTGTAGGTTCTCAGGGGCAAACGAATGTCTCCAGAAGAGACAGCTCACCATCTTTGTAACAACTGCTTACAGGCATGGAGAAAAGAGAAATTAGGTGACTTGAAGCAGAGCAAGTAATGAGGATTTTAAGGCAAATATGCTGCTCTGTCAAACGGAAGCAAAGGGCTGATTTTCCCTTAAATAACAACTCCGTGGCTCTGCCATACACCAGTTGTAATTGTAACACACACCCTTTAATGGATTTTGTCCCTCTCTCCAGACTGTTGTAACGGGATTTCACTGTGACCGGGAACCCAGCCCAACACGTGTCATTCTGAGGAGATTCAGACATTATCACGGCCACCCATTATGAATTCGTAAAGCTGAGCTAAGGGTACTCTCTTGTAAAAGGCGAAGCAGAAGGGATAGATCAAAAATGACAACAATGCTCAGATTCCCAGATTGCTGCATAGGAAATAGCTGTGAGCATTTGTAATGACTTAAATTACTTTTAAAAGATACAGTGATTAATTCGTTAGAAATTGTGGTAGTATATCTAAGGACAGCATCAAGTTGGAGGGTTTTTCCTCTCGACACGAGGTATATGGCATGAGCTTCGTTCTACATCTCCAGTGCAGCAGCACACTGCATAATACTCAGATTCAGGTGAGATTCTTGGCTTCACTTTATTCAATAACAAACTGAGTAAAGTTGAAAAAAAAAAAAAAAAGGCTTTGGTTCACATCCTTTTCTGGGATTGCCTCCATTCAATTCTAGGAGCCCCTGCACAATTACAGGGTGTGATGTACGAAATCAGACCCTCTCAGCTGTACTTAATCCTTTTTAGCCTTTTAATAGAGATGTTAAACCCAAACCAATGTCTGTACCTCTCTGGCTGCTCTCTCTCCTGCCTGTACAGCCCCCTCCATGTATCCACTCCATTGGGTAGCCGTCTCCGTGCCAGCAAAGTAGATTCTGTCAATGGGCTGGCGAATGATCCTTCAAAACAAATGGCGAATGTCAGATGACAAGTAACAAGGAGGCGATGATCCTTCTAAAAACAATTTACGGGCTTTGATGGAGCACTCAACTTCAGCTCTCCAGAATTCCTGCAGATCTGGGCTGGGAAGCACGGTGCAACAAGCCGTCCCCGCAGGACCACCTACTTGCTTTTGCACACAAAAATCAAGATCTGAGAGAGAGAAAAAAATCTAAGGCATAAATCAGTGTGCCCAGCTTCTGTGCAAAATAATACGAGCCTTATTTTAGTGCTGGGATAAGGAATAATCCTAACAGCCTCCAGAAATGCAGTGCAGCTGATAGATTTATGTCTTCTGCAGGGCAGCTTTATTGTTATCCTGCCATTACAATGGGATGTGAGTGATGTTTTTGCAGTGAGGGGTCACTAATACCAGCTTCTATTTGGAGGCTGGACTTGCCTGGCCGCAAGTCCTGCCAAAAGGGGCCAGCAGCTGAAGGCCTCAGCATTCAGGGAGTTGCATTCACCCCATAGCATCATGTAAGCCAGCCCCTCAGCTGTGCAAAGCTGCACAAGCATCCCAGTCAACCCAGCCATAGGTAATGAGTTCCCCTTCCCATAGGAAAGCTCAAAGGGCTCCCATTTAACCCCGGATTAGGTTTTCCCTGTCTGCCTGACACCAGCTTCCCCAGGTCAGAGGCCTCACCCATCACTACCCAACTGTTCAGATAAATTACAACAGAAGAGTCTGTGCACGAGATGACTTCTTCCCACATGCATCTTGGCCCAGAGGCAGGGTGTAACTCCGTGATGCACGTGCTAAGGAGCTCACGCTGTGGGGTGCTACGTGGTTTGTCTGGTCTTTTGCAATGGATACAAGATTTGTCTGGTTGTTCCTATTACATGCTGAACTGCGCGTTCCACACACTTTTCAGTGATATACCTAGTATTAATCAGTATTATCTAACATGTTCTTTTAGGAATACAGCAATTCTGCTTGGGGAGGGCATGGGAGGCTTTGCTGGGTGGGAGGAGTGAATGAGTTTTCATGTAAGGGTTTTGTGTCTTCCCCTCGTGATGGGACTCAATGGGCTTCACCAGAACCTGATCCTCCACCTACAGAGTCAGTGGAGACTCTTCATCTGTTCAAGATGTGTGCCCTGAAGGTCTTAGAAAGCATTAAAGGGATGTATTGCAAATACTATGTAGCAGCAAATACTGCAAGTAACCCAGTGGGGAAAGGTTTTGTGGCTCTAGCGGGTCCCTTTGTGACTATGTTTTCTTTCCTTGAAGGTCACGAGAGAAACGCTGCTCTTATTAAAGCCAATACCAAGATCTTTGTTAGCTGGGGAGTGGGGGAGCAGAAAGGGGTTGGAGTTCCCCCAATATGCTACATATCCTGTAAGTTTGTCGCACAGGGTATATCATTGTACACAAGCTAAGCAATGTAAATTAGAAAGCAAAGCATTCTCTGTTTTACCTTCCGTAAGAATACATTATGCCTGGTGGGAAGTAGGCTGTGTAACAACCCCCTGAATATTGCTCCATGGACCAGTTCTTCTCTTCATAATGCACAGGCTGTAGGTATTAGCAAACATTAGAGAGTGAAACATTGGCAGAGAAATTGGAAATAAAAAACAAATTTCCTTTGAAGAGGGAAGAAACAGGCTAAGGATACCTGTCGAAGGAGTGCCGTGTATCTGGCTAATGCTATCCACTGCACAAAACAGATCTTCGCATTTTTACAGAAGCACTAGCCTCCCATGGGGAAACGACAGGATAAATTAAACCATGCACTGCCTTCTCTTTTCTTGTAAAGAGTGAGACTGGCAGCTCTTTTTTTCCTATACTAGATGCTGCTGCCCGCTCCTTGGGAGTACAGATTGTATGGCACAACAAGCAATTTTAGGTACGCATTTTAGGTACCAGGAATTTTGGCTTCATCGTCCAAAACAGAGGAACAACAATACTCTACAACAGAAGTGAAAAGAGGCATTCATTTCTTACATGTAAAGCCTCTTCCATCCCCATTGCCTTGGCATATGCCTCACAGATCTTCTTCTTCCTACATGAAAACAAAATCAGAGTCAGAAAATTAAAAAAAGGGGCAAAAACCTCTCAGCTATTGCTGCTCTTATAAAAAAAAAAATCACATTTATTGCAATACATTGGAAAGAAAGTTTGGTTTAGCTTTGGGTTTAAGTCTGATTTCAAGTTCTTAACATACATATTTCAAATGCTGATGCCTAAATGTGACATTCAAAATGGACTCATGGAATGGGAAATGAAGGTTGATTTTGGCAACGGGCTCTAAAAAAATAAATCTTTGTACAGTTATTTTAGGATGCAGAGTCAATTCATTCTCATGTTCACTGGTGTAAGACCAGAAGAGAAGCAATATAAATCAATGAAATCCCTACAGATTTACTACAGCAGAGAACAAAATATGAGCTGGAGAATACTACTCACATTCCTAAGCAGAACTCCTCTTTCACTTGCACGTATACCAAAAATCACTTTTAGAAAGTGTTTGTTCATTTCACAGACTAATGGAGAAACCATACTGCTGTAAACATGGGGGTTTAAAAATTCTATCACCCAGTCTGAACGTGAAGGACACCCAAAGCTACGCATGCCAGCGTATCCCTGGGGTGAAGCAGCATTCAGTGCGGACGCGGTCTGGGAACGTCTTTGGAAAAATCTTCTCAGTTCAGACAGAGACACAGAGCTGATAAGTCATAACATGGAAGAGTGGGCAGGACTCGGAAACTCAGAAATATCCACAACTGGATGGATATTAGCATTAGCGTCTTGGCCTGTTTATCCTAAAAGCTCAATTTTTGCCCCAATTTCCAGTATTGGTAGTTGCACTGAGCATGTGTATACGTGCATATGCATACACGTATTCACACACATTCCTGTGGGGAAGTATCCCAGAGAACTGACTGATTTCTGAAATATTTACAGTTTCTGCACTCTTACCTCGCTTCCTTACTGAGGTGGGCCAGTTTAACAGCCTTTCTGGTAAGGATGAAACTGAAAAGGAAAATATGGCAAATAAATATCATGCAGTGTCAGCACCCCAGTTGATTCGCAAGCTCTTGCTTGAAATGACTCTGTAAAAAAGAAGGGCAAAGCACTTTACCAGTAGGTAATGGGCTTGACATTTTTTCATCATACCTCATTGTTCAATAATTATAGGTCACACAGGTGAAAAGGCCTGTGCAGGGTACCCTAGGGAATTAATTGAAAGGGAGAGCATGCATTCCCGGGGGCAGGCACAGAGGACTGACTGCCTGGCAGCTACCAGATGAGAAAGCTCTGGATTGCAAGTGTGTTTTCAAAGCTGCCAGCACTGGCCCTGTTGTTTTCTGTGGGAATGAACTCTCTATTCCCACTGAATGAGGAGAGCAAAGTTATATCCAAAGTGGGCAGAGAGACACCAGTGTCCAGCAAACTAGCCTGCACTGCCTACCCTCTTATACCTAGGTCTTATCCAGAAGGACTGAGACCCTGAGATTTCTTGAGCTTTTGAAGGCTCGCAGACAGCTGGCCAGACCACTGCCCGTGTCATTTGGTGTTAACAAGCGACGGGAGCCTGCTGCTCTGACAAGCACTGCAGTGTGTCATGGACCAGTCCTGTAAGAACTGGGATTAATATTTATTCAGCTTGAAGAAAACAGATTTGGTGATTAGTTCATCTGACCTTAGTGGAGATAGCCGGGGGATGAAGTATGTTCCTGAACTCTTTCAGATAGTTCCATAAATCCACAAGGAGAAAGCAGGAAACTGCTTGCCATATGGGGTGTGGAGGAGGTTTATTGCTCTCAGGTCATGAAAGTTTTTAAGCCTTGAACATGCCCGTAAACATGTACAGTTCCCTAGAAGTGGCAAGCTTTCCTTGCCAGATACTCAAGGAGTAGTTGTCTGACATTTATATTGGCTTTTTTTTTGGCAGCCTCACCTCAGATTACAGTGGGAACGTTTGTAAAGATTGCTTGTTCAAATTGCCTTAACCTATTTCAAAAGCCAGTCAATGCTGTTATGTATTTTCCCATTTGTTTGTCCAAACGACAACTTTTTTACTCAGCAGTTTCTTCAGAAACCCGATTTCTTCACTGCACAGCTGCTGCCCTGCTCAACCACCAGCTGATGTTCGTTGTCCTGCCTCAGGACGGGGAAGGGAGGCAAATGAGGATTTCTTGGACAAACGCATTTTCATTTTGGCCCAGACGCTGAATACAAGGCCGAATATAGGCTCACAGAGGCCAACATAAGCTGAATACAGGCTCACAAAGCTAGGGAAGAAAAGGGATTTATTTCTAAATCTACTCCACAGCAAAAAAACATTAACTGAATGCTTAAAATGAACTGCAGCTGAATTTAGCAACTCCTTCCCAAACAGCTCCTTTGTATTAGGTTATTTGTAGCAGAAGCTTCACCTAAAAGCTTATACGGACTAGAGGCAGAAGAGGCTTGCCAGAAGTGCTCTCCTCCATCTATAAAGACTGTGGGAGTGGGAATCACTGATGTAGCCTGGCCATTTCCCCTCTTCCTCCTCCTCCCACTCCTTCGTACAAAAAGATATACACATCTGTAAGTATGGGCTAAAAGCTCTTAACCCCATAATGGCAGGGAAAGATCCATCAGGTTTTGTGTCATCCATGGTTATTCCAATTGGAGACTCTTCATCCTCAATGATTAAGGAACCACAATAACCTAAGGGGGCAAAAGAAAACAAAATGATTGAAGAGAAACTTGTTGATGATCATTGGTTCTGATAGTAATGAGCAAGGAAAATTATCCATAAAAGGAACTGTACAGTAATTCCTTCGTCACCAGTAACACCTACATGTCTGAAGTGTTTTTGTAACAATCTCTCTCCTTCTTCCCTCTGGGAAAATTTGTACACAGATTTATAAAAGCCGTATTTAAATTCTGTTATTACTTGGCAAGGTTTCGGGAATGCTTCCCAGGGAAACATTGCTTGTTCTGTCAGTCCTCCCTCCTCAGCTAGCAACAATGAGTTTCGGGATCCTATTTGGGTCTGGACTCATCTCTGCGACAAGGCGTGCACCCAAGCTTGGAGGAAAAGCTCTCCTTTACCTTTCATTTTTCTGAACGTTTGGTTTTGGGGTTTTGCACATTTAACCCCCCCTTGGATTTATTCCCTGATAGACAGCAGAGCTTCAAAATTCACGTAGCACAGGGCTCCCAAGCCCTTCACTTTCCCCACATACCCTTCCTCTCCCAGAAGGCTTCCTTGTAGTACACCATGCATTTTATGACACACCCCATAGGCAAACGCTGAATTAACTGGTTTCTCTTTGGTGGCAGTTCTGGTTTGTAATGAATCTTCGTTGTCAGGATTGGAGGGATGGCACTGATCACATACTTGCCCTGAAAAGTAAAACACAGTCAGTACAGGCAAGGCGCTGCCTCTCATGGAGCTCACCCTGCAGTACACGTTTGAAAGAAGCTCTTAGTTGTTAATGGCTTTCCCACAGCTGACTCTGCCACTTTGCTTTCCCACACAGGTATTTCCAGGTGGCCAAAATAATTCTGCCATTGCATAAAAAGGAGCTGGGAAAAACATGCTGCTTTGTGGTTAGATGATTCTTGACAGCTTTCCAGATGCTACAGGACCAGAGTTGAAACTTGGCTGGAGACAGGTGGGGAAATGGGACAAGACAGATCTTATGGCATAGGTAAAACTGCCTTTTATCAACCTCAAGAAAATACGACCCACATTTGTCCAAATTATAAACTGTTAAAAAAAAAAAAATCCCTTTTGTGCATATTCACAGCATGTTACTTCAGGACAAGCAACACTGATGGTGTTTTCAGCTTTCCTGAACACGCTCCATCCCTCTCGCAGGTCTTGTGTCTGGCCGGAGTGACGAAGGATGCTCTTCTTCAGGGCTCAGGGTGACACTGCATCACAACAGATGCTGCTGCCCCTCGGTGCTCTCATACCAGTGGGGCTACCAAGTGCAAGAAACCTGTCTCCTCCAACTTGGCTGTCACTCAGCCAGCATGGAGGGAGAAGCCAGTGATTTAACTCTGGGGTTTAAAAATCCCTGGGGGAGAAAGAGAGTCCCTCCTCCAGGAAATCTTTAGATCGGCTTCTCTGCCAAACAGCCCCTTCCCTTTCTGCTAGGTTTCTCTAAACATCCTCCAACCAGTGCCACCGGTGAGACGGGGGTCCTGCAGACCAGGACGGTCCTGCACAAACCCCTGCGGCAGGCTGGGCTCTGCGTGCAGCAGGGAGATGCCACTCCACGGGTGCCACTGCGGGTAATCGTGCACTGACAGAGCATTTCACAGCACTGCTGCACAGAGGCAAAATTTTACTAAAGGTGTTTGAAATGTCTTTTTTTTTGTTCTTCAAAATGGAAACTTAGATACAAACAGGAATGTTATTTTTTTCCTTTCTTTGGAATGGTCTCGATGCAGAACTAAAATGTAAAAATATATAATCACAGAAAGCGGTAAGGCAGAAAAGGCAGAGTTATGACAGAAACTAACTAGCAGAACACCAAGAAGAGGCCCAGTCATAAGTAAATCCCAAAAGCAGGTTTCACAGAGTGTCAGCGTAGTCTGAGAAATAGACACACACCAAAGGGTACTTACTGATTACATCTGGCTAAGAGCTACAGCAGATGTATTACCCCACTAAATGCATACTCTACTTTTATTCTGATCAAATTACCTCATATATCTCATGGTTTAGAGTCTCCACAATGACATTATCACCTGTCTGATCAATACGGACCACAGGTCTCTCCAGTTTAACTCTGCCTTTGAGGCGTTCCATTATTTTCTCCGATATCTGACCAGAACCACCTTTAAACTTCCTCTCCTAAAAAAACAAACAGAAAAGAAACACAAACAAAAAATCACCAGCATTAATTACAATGACATTGAATATGACTTCTACTCATCACCAAGAAACTCCAGGCCAAATTTGCAAGTCCTAAGGGGCCCAGGCTTTCAGAAGAGTGAAAGGATAATCCAAGCCTCAGCAGGGATTGCTGCCTAAACCACTTTTGCAATGGCTTCCTCAATTAGCTGGCTTAAAGACTCTTCAAGCCTAGCAAACAAACACATATAATGCAAGTATTCTAGCTAGTATAAACATATCACTTCATTAAAAAAGAGGTTTTGGAGTATTTTACCCATCACTGTGCTAGCGAAACCCTCATGTGTGACAAAGACACCAACTTGCATCTGTACAGAGAAAACCTGCACCAGCCCAGAAGCAAGGCAGATCTTTAACTGGGTCTGGCCTCCAGCGCAGCAGGCAATGAGCTTTATCTGTCCCTAGGAAGACACAAAGACATCGCCGTCTGGAAAAAAGCACAATCTGTGACACATATTTCCGTGCAATGTCTGCACAGAGACTCAGGGGGAGAACTAACCCCCTTTTATCTACCAGTCACTAGCGTTACATGAAGCAGCTCACTTTTACATATAAGATGCTGGTACTGTCAAGCAGGAAAGAATCCACAAAGTCTTCTGCTGAAAGACTGAAATGGCTGCCTGAAGGAGTTTTAGAAGACTCGTCATAGCCACTAAGTCAGAAACCCTTAGCATTTTTGCTCAACTGACTTTGATTGGGGTGAGGGGAGAGGGAAGGATGGTAGAAAACAAGACAGCTTGCCCCATCCAGGCACAAAGAAAAGGAAATGCTCTTCCCAGGCTAGCTTTCCCCTCTCCACATGTCTTCTTTAGCTACTAGTATCTTGGGATTAATTTTAGTTTTAATTCCTGTTGCAACATCTAGCAGTCGCTGACATGGGACAGGAAATGTGGCTGAGGGGCTCCTGAGGAGGAAGGCTCTTAGGTCTTGCTCCTGCCTCAGGGCAGCATTAGCTCTACATCCATCCTTCCTGACATGTGGTTGTGTATTCTTACCCCAACGGACAGATGTTGATGGAGACTTCACATTTCTCCAGGCAACTTCTCTTAATGTCTCCCTATCCTGACACACTTGGAAGGGTAAGGTATTGTCTCCATTTTTGCTGTTGGTAGCTCAAGTCTGAAATGCTGCGTGTGCTTTCTGAGGCTGTGTTAACTGAGGTAGGAAGCTAGTAAAGGGTGCCGACATACCACCCCCAAATTACTTTGAAAGCTCCCTCTCTCCTTTTCTGAAACTTTATCCAGAACAATCACATGAAAACCCCAATGTTCTGCAGACAACCGGGCACCTGCCACAACCAAGGCAAGAAACAGTCTGAAGTAGCTCATAAAACATGCTGCCACGTGAGCTGTCCCAAGAAGGAAGGGCCTTTTGCTTTCTACTTCCAACTCTTGTCATTAGAGGCTTCAACATCAAAAAAAAATATTTTATTCTGAAGTACACTTGCTTTGAACTCTTGAAACATTCAAATGTGCTAAGTAACCCTTAGAAAATGAATTGGCAAAAGAGCAACAAAACAGTAACAAAAGGATTGTGAATGTAGGAAAAAACAATTGATTAAATTGTCCCAATTTATCCCAAAGCCTAACTAATAAAACTCCTCATCGTACAGAGTTAGCCAAGAGGGCTGTTCCACCCTATGAGTGCACAACTGTCGCCAGTGCCACATGCACTTGGTGTTTCGTCCTCTTTTCGTTAATTGCAGGGCTTTGACAGCTACAACACTCTACTTCCTTTTTACTGTTTCAAGAGAGGAGGAAGAATATGAGATATTTTGTACCTGACCCCCATTGGTGATGGAGAAAATCCTGGCTGTGCCTCCACACTGCCTCACGTACCACAGGAACCAGAGAGCGGAGACTTCATGAGGCTCAGACGTGACATTGACGTTCACAAAGAAGGTGGCAAATTCTTTAGCAGCTCTGCATGAGACACAGGAGCAGAAACAGGCAGTGAGTAAATGTGACTTCCTGACTGCTTTCAGGATTTTCATTGTTATTCCCAATAAGGACTGCTTTCCCAAAGTCAGAAAAGCCAAGACAATTTATATCTGTCTCATTTTTTAGTTTGTAGCAAGACTGTTTCAATGGGTTCACACCAGCACCTCCCTCCTTCCCAAAGCATTTACCCATTCAGTTTGAAATCCCACTGATTTCACCTTAGTCATTTCTTTAGTTTCCCAGCTGCTATTCCTTTCATCAGAACAAATATTTTTCTCAAGTGGAGAATGCATTTGGTAACCAGTTAGTGAAACTCTTCTGCATTCCTCCTCCATGGAGAGTTCATCAGGCACATCATTTCCAAGGTCTGATGGGTCCCAAGGGACTCAACTAGCCACACGGCCAAGACATTCCCCATCTACCATGTAACACCGCTGCACAAACCTTTTGTGAAAGCAAGAATCAGACATGGTAAATAACCCAGAGAAACCAAATTGGCAATTATTGCCATAGATGTAAGGAGAGGGACAGCTGTCTACCACAGTAAGTCCTCTGAACGTAAACAGTTACAGCGGGAGGAAACGAGGACCCGGCTATTCACATTTCTTTCATTTGTGGGTACAGATTGCTAAGAGAACTGCGATCATTTTGCAGAGAAGGTGAAAGGTCTTTGACTTGGTTGAAGTTTCATAAAACAGCACAAATTTATAATCATCTGCTAAAGGAAGGAACGTTGCAAGTTATCTGGGCTAAAATATCTAACTTATAAACTTTTATAACCTCATTTCCCTGGGTATCAAGTCCAATCACCTCTACTTCATTAGCCAAGACATGAAAACATCCTGCATGCAAGAACACTCTGCCACAATCCTGAAAGCACCAAGACACTAAACAGTTGTAGCAGGTTCAGGCCTGAGAAATGTAAAGAGGGTCTCCAGGATCAGTAGATGCTGATCTGTGACACATGACAAACAAATCTTCTTTTATAATCTTGACCCAATTCATACAGAAAATGTTGCAGAAGAGCTTTTCTATTTAGGGCACTATGTTTTTTAACTATATGTAGAAAAATCTGGTTTGGCTTGAAGATCTAAAATGGCTTTTTAGTGAGTTTTTGAACCTGTTTCAGCTGAGCACATCCATTAAAACTGGAGTACCACGAAACCATTGGCAGTAGAAGCAGTCTTGCCGAGAAGCGTGTTACAGGAGAGATCACTATAAACTCAGTTCTGCTTTTACTCCACCGGCTCCCTGACCAAGAGGAACAATAAAAACTAGAAAAGGAAGAGCCAGTGCACTTGCAACAGAAAGAGTAGTTCAAAGTAACCAAGTTTGCAGGCAAATGGCTCATAAAACTGATTGCAAAGAAAACTACAACGCCACAGAGAGCAAGAGGAAGTCCAAACGGCCATACCTTGTATCACATGGAGCTGGAGCAAGGTTTAAGCCAGCAAAATAAATTTCAAATGGAAAGTTTTGGTCAGGAAGCTGCAGGCACAGTGCTAAACCACAGTCAGAATGAAAAGGCAAAAAGAGCACAGCCGCCCAGATAAAAGATGCTGAATACAAGGGAGGAGAGCGTTACAGAATAGTGCAGGGGCTGGCACAGCAAGCAGAAACACAAGTGCCCATATGAGCACGCTTCTCTTTGCCTTATAAAAAGAATTAATTAAAAAAGGAAAGGAAGCAAAGCGTATTTCCAGTTGTTGTCACCTCATACTGAATGTTGTTCCTTTTTTTATCGGTACAGTGTGGTTTGTCATAGACATATAAAACACATTGGCCTTTCTCTAGGTGATACAATACCTCGGGCCCTCTCCCTGCAACTAGGGTTGATGCTGTCTTGGACCTGCGACTCACAAAGAAGGAAGACCTGTCGGATGATGCAAAGGTGAATGGCAACCTTGGCTGCAGTGGCCATGAGATGTGGAGTTTAAGATCCTGAGAGGAGTAAAACAAACAGCAGAATTGCAACCCTGGATTTTGGAAGAGCAGATTTAATCCTCACCAAGGACCTGCTTGGCAGCAGCTCATGGGAAACTACCCTGTAGGGCAAAGAGGCCCAGAAGACCTGGCTGGCATTCAAGGACAGCTTCCCAGGAGCAGAGAGACGGTGCACCGCAATGGGCAGAGCTGAGCCAGCCCAGCAACAGGCTCACTGGGATGGACAGGGAGCTCCCTGGGACTGGGCTCAGGCACAAACCAGCCAGGGAGGTGAAAGGCAACAAGAAAGGTTGCCTCAGCTGCCTTGTTTCCCTTCAAGGCTTTCGGAGGCACTACTGGTGAAACAAGGAGCAGCACTTGAACTTCTCCAGAGTTTCCAGAGCCAAGAGCTGCTCACTTCCCTCTCCTCGAGTCTCGTGCTGCCCCGTCCATTGAGCAACCACTGGAAAGCAGGTGCCCTCCGGCACGGCATGCTGCTCTCCCATGTGCCAGCCGGGGTTACACGCGATGCAGCTCACCCAGTAAAAGCAGACACATGATAACTGCGCAGGGGAGGACATAGCCACTAGTCAGAGGACATCACTCCTCAGCTCCTAGCCTGCCATAGGGCTGGGGAAGCCCCCTCACCTCCTTCTGCCTCCGTTTCTGTGTCTGCAAGTGACTTTTATTCATGCCCACAAAGTGGAGTCTTATTTACATGTTGCTTTTCCACAACACCAAGGCACACGCTCTCCAACTGAGTGAAGTGAAAGCACGGTGGGAAGAGCCCACGCTGTCACTGTGCGCATGGGCTTGCTGAGACAAACCCCAGGTTACCCCAGCACCTTGAATCCCACCTGCCAGCCAACCCAAGCTCTGCCGTACCACCTTATCCTCCACAGGCCCTCACCCACCGCCTGACAACAGCCTCATCTCAAACACCTCCTGCTCTCTCACCGCCTGTACCCCAGCTGTACTCAGCTGTACCCCAAAATTTGCCAGGGAGCCATTATCATTCTGCAGCTGGATTTCAAAGTGAATAAAGAGTTATGTACTTGGTCCAGCAAATCTTATTTATCAGCTCTTTCATGGTCATTTTGTCCCATTCTTCAGCATGCGGAGCGTCCCATGGTGCTTCAACAGGAATCTGGAGACAGAGGTGAAATATTCAAGAAATTATTCAGTGCTGTATCATTGCCCGGTCATAGCTAGCTAGTAGCACAGAGTTGATCGATATGTTGGCCAGAGGTTGCTTTTGTCCCCTGCACGCGGCTGTAGATTTGGAATAAATTCACTAAATGGAATACTTTCCAATCACGCCTTTGGGCATGAATTGTACCATGACCACCAAATCTGGCTTTGTCTGACCAATGAACTACATCCTTATGTTGGGACTCATCTGGCCTTTAGTTGTCCAGAAAGGAGGTGTCTATTCTAATTTAGTTGTGTTGGTGTGCTCTAACTGCTGAGGGAAAAATTCTTGCTCCAGTCAGCTATTCAGTGAGTTCCAAGACAGGTACCCAAAGGCCCCTATGTCTCTCTGTTAACTACAGAGGGAGCAAAAATGTCTAGTTACTATTAAATTATTTTTAGACAGTTAAATTCTTAATGATAACCCATTGCATGTACCATGACATTTGAGGACACTATCATATATTTGAATCTTTAAAAAAATAATGTATTATTTGAAAAAAAAAATGTGTAGTATCATGCACAAATTTGATTCTGCAAAACCACACAAACCCAATGAACTTTTCAGGAATATAGCTAGTTATGCTTGGAGGTTATTGTAAGGTAGGGGCCCTGGTTTGTAGCCAAATCATAAGGCAACTGATAAATATTTGAAAGACAGCATGACGCTCCAGGGGCTACTTTTCGCACACAGGAAGATCTGCAGTTGTACCGCTTGAATTTTGAAGGCATTTACTGTTTAAGAATTGTAGAAATAAAATTTTAGAAATAAAATTACCATGAAGCCAAACTGGAGCCCAGCTTAGGCAGCTATGAAAAAGAATCATCCTTACTCAAAAAGGCTGTCACAGGGGAAGGGGAAAAACCCTTCTCATCTCCCAGCTTGTGGAATGGTTTTCCCTGGCATGAGAAAGTACATACGTTGAGATTCAAACTAATTTTTTTCAGATATCTTAGATATCCAAATCTTAGATATCTTAGATATCTCCAGATCTTTTTGTATCCTCTCATAGAATCATACAATAGCTCAGGTTGGAAGGGACCATTAAAAGTTACCTAGTCCAACCCCCTCCCAGTGATGAAGCCCTGTTATTCCTGATAGTTCCTGCGCAACATAAATATCTTTCCTGATGGATGTGGGGGGGGGGTTTATATTAAAGAAGCAATAAAAAAACCTGCCAGAAACCAAACCAAACCAGATTTACTCATAGTGACATGAGCATTGTAGGAAACAGATGCAATTTACACAGCCTACCTCTTTTCCCAGCTTGTCCACGATCCTCCAGAAGTTATTGTAATCCAGATAAACTAAGGGATTCCATGTTGGAGGGGAAATACCCATGAAATAGCGTGACTTTCCCTAAAATACACGTAAGAACATAAGCAACTGAAACACAACAGAACATATCTTCATTACTTAAGAACTCAAAATTCTCAAGGTCTCACATGGCTGACCTTTTGTCCCAAAAGTCCTAGCTTTTTCTTTTTTTTTAAATTTTTCCCTTTTTTTCCTGCATATGCATGTAAACAATGGAATGCACGAAGCTAAGTATGAGGGGAAAAAACAGTTGGGCTGACATTAAAAAGGACAGTAACATTTTTTTTTTTTATTTGGAGGGGATGGGGAGTGGTACATTTGTTCTGAGCAGGTTATCAAATTCCAGGCTAAGGAGACTCACGCAATGGCCATGGAGGTAATATTCCTTGTTTCTAAGCATTCTTCATTATGACACATGAATTAAGCTAATGTCTGCCTGCCTGCTGAAATGTGCATCCTAAAATTTGTATGGATCTAAAATTGAACACATTTTAAACTTTTAAGATATCTAAGCACTTTTATGTGCTAAGCACCTCACCTATAGAAAGCAAATGCACCATTTTATTACGCCAAGTACCTTGGGAGAAACCTAGCCGCCGCCCACCCCCACCCCCCCACACCCCGTTTAAATTTTGCCAAACAGAAAGATTTTGGCTGCAGGAAGAAAAATTCTGTACATTTGCAAAAATGGTATCAGTACTTAAAATGTGTATGACATAGCTGCAACAGGAAAATGGACTGTTTCAGATAATCCTATGATATAATGATAAGTGAAACAATCTAACAGCAGCTGGTTCTTTGTGATAACTTTAATCTGAAAGAGGACTAGATGAGCAGACAACATTTTCTCTTATTAAATTTCTTTGAACCTTCCCCCATGTAAGTCAGTGGCAAATTTCTCATCAGACCTCTTTAACATTTGCTCTTCCAGACGTGTCAAAAGTTTGCATGAGGTCACGTGGCAGGACGCAGCGAACACGCTGGACCATGACAGGCAGGAGCTGCGGTGCTAAGCGATGCGCAATGTGCTTTTCAGCGCAATGTATGCCATGCCAGCCCATTGCACCTGGCAGGTAGGAGTGACAGACCAAGCGAGAGGCTGCAGTGCTGCAAATGCATGATATCGTGACCCAGAGACAGGAGGACACAAAGCAGGAGCCAAATGCGTCTTCCCCATGCTTGGCGAAAGATAATTCCCCACTGATAATTGTGTATGTGTGTGTAAATACATATGGACTTCTGATACTCCTCAGAATATTTTTCTGCAAAGATCATAACAAAGGTAAATGGTGCAAGATGAAACTCGGAGACCATAGTGAGCTTTCAGACTTGGCAAAAGCAATAAAAAAAATCCAGACTCCCATATTTTGGTCAACTTTTGTCAGTCCTAGTGCAGGTACAACGGGAGAGACAAGGGTACACGGACAAGGGACAGAAGTCTTGCCATGGCCAACACCATGTGGTCCCTCTCTCCCCACGGTTGCAGTGGTGCCCCAGCTCCGGTGTCTGTCTGGGCCCATGTCCCCCTCACCATCCTCAGTGAGGGAAGCAGCAACACGCTCTCCCGTTCAGTCTAGACACAGTAACCTCTGCTCTGGGCCAAGCAAAGCACAAGGTTGCTATCTCAGCACTTAGTTCAGCTTGAGATCCAAGTGCTTAAAGAGTTTTTTTTTCAAATTTCCAACAAATGTTGAGTTTTCAGGTCACCAGGATGACTCTGGTGGTTGGTTACCTCTGGATTTCTGGGTATGTAATCTTGAGCTTGTGTACCACATAATATTTTTTTTCTCTCTTTTATCCCCATTTCGCCCTGTTTTAGAGTTACGTTGGAGGAAGGTGGGTGGGGGATGCTGCTCCAGCCTTCTCCAGGTGCATATATGGATGCAAAACACACTTCTGCCATGGCAAGAGCAGAGAAAATGCTCCTACGAACTGCCAGCAAGGGAATCCTCCACACAACACCACCACAACTTCTCACTGTCAGTTTGCAGCACTGTGTGTTCAGCCACAGAAAAGAGGACGAAAAAACACAGGCAAAGGGATATAGTGCATGCTACAGCTTTTACTGTCATAAACCGATGCTGTATCAAACAAGAAAATCCTGATACAAAGCAGTAATACTGCTAATCGTTTTCTTTTTATTACACAACATTTTGTTTTTCAAAATGATCATCAAATACTGCTCCTTCAAAGTTCATCTATTGTTGGACTTTTTTTCTGGTCAGGAACACACGTGCCATCAATGTGTCTTCCTTGACCTGCTTTAACACTAATAATCCTGCCCTTAAGCAGAGACGAGGTGCAATGCTATCAGGCCACCCAACAACAGGTGAAGATAAGATATTACTGAAGTTCGGTCATGTTGATATTGCAAAGGGACAAAGGGAAAAGATAAGCCAGCCGTTCACGAGTAGCAGCAAAAACTTCCCAGTTTTTCACTCTTCAGCGATACTTCTTTTCAATAGGCTTTTCGGTAAGTGACTCTGCTCGTACCGAGGGGTGTAACTTGCAAACACCTCTCCTATCCTCGGCCTACTTAACTCAAAAAAAGAAGTACTTCTTTAAAAAGAAAGTCAAAAAAGTAACTTCTAAGGCTCTTCTTCTCCTCTTGTTTTCAGCCAAACCTATGCCTTATACTGCTGGAAACAACAGTCCAAGATAAGTCAGTCTCAAACTTTATGATGAGGTTTGAGCCAAACCAGCTTTTCCAGCCCCCAGCATTAACTCTACTGCATTCAACAGCTACAGGCTGAGAAACTCCCAAACTATCCTGATTGCTGCAGGTGGGGCAATTGGTGAGAGAACTTGCCCACTGCCTGGCTACCTAATATTTTCCTCCACACCTATACTAGCTGTAGACCACTATGACTACAAACTGCTGAGGACTGATCAAGAAATCTTACAGTCTTGGCCACTGGCATGACATGTATCACATTAGATATTCACTTATCTGCTATTTGAAAAAAGAACTATCCTTTCATTACCGATCTGAAAATATTATTATCCCCACATCTTTGGTCAACGGCACAGCTCAGGAAGATCAATGGGAAAACATATGTTATCCTCTAAGAACTACAAAGTGCCAACTGATAATTAACAGTCTAAAGTTGCATTATTTGTTGCTCTCTTTTGCATGCAAAAAACCCGTAACTTCAGTAAGACTGCAGACCAAGGGTAGGAAAAGCTGGAAAAATACCCACAGTGCTAACAGACCTGGAAGAGGTTGAGACTGAATTCAGAGAGCCTGAAACAGTCCACAGACACACTAACTCCTTGTGCAGAGGGGCTCGACCTGTAAGAGGTGGGAGCTGATCAGAGGAAAGCCCAATTCTAACAAATTCCAGGAGAGAAAATCCCACTGCCCATCAGAGAGCATGAGCCAAACAGCCTTAGCCACATCAATTTTTCAGCTCTCTCTTGCACAAGTATCTCCACAGCAGGGAATAAATCTAGCCCAAACAATTTGGCATTGGTAAGTTATTAATTCGTTTTTAATAATGTCTTCCTACTAGGCAGAGGAGCTCTGGCTGCATGTTTCACAGAGGAGCTCACTGCAAGTAGGCAAGGTCTTGCAATATTCCATTTTTAAACAAGTTTATAGTGTTCTGGGTGTATTATTTTGGGAACTACTGTTTTCTTAACTGAAAGGCAAATAACCTACTGGCTTTGTTCCCATGCTAACACAAGGCTGCTTGACTGACCGCAGAGTTTATCTAACTTTTTTTTTCATTTCCTGGTGTGTCGAATGCTTTCCTGCAGACCTCAGATTTTAGTCCTGCTGCCTGCCTGGATTAGTTACCCCACACCAATCCAAAGGAAACAATATCCCCAAGCACCGTAGTTCAGTGGTTAGAAAGAAGGCAGCAGAGAGAGATGTGCTCGGCAAGGTCTGTTTTTTCCCTGCCCAAGGCTACGCTGGGGCTTGTAGCCATAACTACAGGAACTAGGCCTAAGCCGCCCCAGCTGTGACACCAGCCCAAGTTTCAATTAGTGCAAGAGGAGCAGACAATTTTGCAAGTCTTGAGCAAGGCAAGTTTGGCTCCTGCCCGCTGTGCTGAGGACAAGCTACACATCAGGAAGCAGAGGAGGAGCATCCCTTGCAGGGATTGCTATCGCCCTTGGGCCAGGCACAGCACCCACAGCTAGAGCAGCAGATCCCTACGGTGTGAGCTCTCAGGTGGGCATCCTTCGCTGCTCAGTATCTTCAGCTGGTCTGGCCTTGTGAGTGTTGCAGTGCCTTGGATTGTCTGCAATTCCTGTGTCCGAACTGCAGATTTACAGCGATCTGCACAGACTTAGTCACAGACTTACCTGCTGCACCCTAACGTCTTAAGATTAAGGCTAGATGAAGGGAAGAAAAGACTAGATGGTCAATGCGAAGCATCGCATAGAAATGCTCATCTTTTGTTAAGCGTTACCTTGCTCTGAAAACTAGAAGCAAACAAATAAGCAAATTGTTCCTTATTTACTAATGTTACACATACTGCAGCTGGGTGCTGCTGCCAGATATTAGAGGACTGCAATTACACGAGAAGGTTAATACCACACCAAGGCCCTAATGCCTTTACTTTCTAGGGTCTTCTACTAAAGAGGAGGTGAAAACAGAGCACAGCATGACCTTCAAGGACCTCTGTAAAAATAAAAAGCTATCTGCCTCTTCTGGGAAGGGAGAACTCCAGCACATCTGCCTTTTGTCAGTCCTAAAACATTCTTGATGAACTACGGGACAGCAGCCAGAAAGTAATTTCGCTAGAAAGTCTGGGGCTCATAACAAAATCTATGGTTTGAAGTTACAGATTCACGACAACAGCATACAAACAAACTCCTGACTGATATCCAAGCAGTCCACGTTACCATGCTAACTGATGGGAAAGAATGAACAAACAAACAAAAAAAGATAAAAAAGTTACATATTTGTATTTTTTCAAATAAACTGTAACTACAAAGGAAACCTGCCCACATGAAGGAACACGGTTTTTAAAGCTTGCAGTACATGGAATTTTTCCACACACATATGGGAAAAATTCCTTTCAGAGCAAAGCTCATGAAATCCCTCTGGGGACTTCCACTTTCCCTTGGCTGCTTCTGTTGCTAGGATAAACCATTTCCCCACTTTCCCCTAACTTAATCCACGCAGTATCCTGGAAATCTTCAGAAACAGCCAAAGCGAACCAACTAGTATGGTAAACAAAGGACCAAAAATATCTTAATCTGAGGATGCTGGAGATTATATAGAGGTGGACTGTCACAACGAAATCTAAAGCCATGTTTAGCCATTCCTCAAAACACTCTTCCTCTCGCCTCTGACAAAACCGCACAGCATTGCAGACTTTGGAGAAATGCCCTTGGGAAGAGACTTTCCTGCCTGGCCCTGGCTACACACTCCCCGACAGCCATCAGGTGACAGAAATAGCAGATGAGATGCAAGGAGGAAAGTTTTAGTCATACTTTTCAAACCTGAAAGGCAGCAGCTGGCCCACAGCTGACACTGTATTAGCCCAAGAAGCTGAATATATCCATCTTTCAGGTAAGTAGTTAATTTCTGTGACAATGATCCTTTAATACCAAACCATCTCTTTGTTAACACATTTTCTAACATCTAGGAAATACCACAGGTGCCTGGGTTCCTGAAGCATCTTTAATGAAGATGAGGGACGCATCTATAGCCAGGAGAGCACAAATCCCTGCCTGGCCAACTCACCGTCACAGCATGGTAACAGTGTGCAGCGGGCAGGTAAAACGTACAAGCCCTAAGGGCCCTGAGCACTCACCAACCCAACCAATAGCCAGGACTGCACAGACGGTTTTCAATAGGCTTCTTGTAGAAGTGAGATGTAAGAGAGGGTTCAACAATAGATCCCTAAAACAAAGGGCACGGTGACTACACGATGTCTCAAGGAAGGAGTAAGGAGAAGAAGCTGTGGAAAACCCTAGGGAACGAAAAGAAAACAAAAAGCCTGCAATTCCTGGGAAGAGGAGGTGGGAGGAATGAGACCTACTGGAGGAAAAGTATCATTATTATTTACCCAGTGCATAAGCCTGTCCACACTGGGAGACCTTAAAGCCCCTTTGCTGTCACCCTGGTCCAACAACCATGCCTCCCTTGGGGACCCTGCCTAGCTTGGCAGGATCATGATGCCAAACCTAGAACTGATCCACAGCATGTGATCCAGCTGAATAGCTCGTAATGCTGCCTCTTGCTTAAAAACATGCTTTCACTTCAAAGAAAACTTACGAAATTACATGGTCATTAGCAAGGACATGCATAATGTAATGTGGGACAAAAGAAAGCTGCAGTTTCAGTGTCAAAATGGATTAAGGGCTCAAATTCATGTAACCCATTAGAGTCTTTTATTTAACATAAAGAAGATAAGTGCCTTTTAGGATGCTAAGAGATCCATGTCTGAGCTTAAATTAACTAGAGTGGACCAAACATTCAGCTGGTACAAATCAGCCCACCCCTCTTGCTGTAGATTTACACCAATTAATTTACACCAGGTGGTGTAAAATAACTTTTTTAGTATTATGGAGTAGCTATGTATTTAAGATGTGACTATTTTATGAACATAGCATGAATCCATCCAATAAGGAGAGGTTACAGAACCAGATGATAAAACTTCACAGCATGAACGCATTGCTCTAATTCTTCAAAGAAGAAGTGGGAAGATAATAGAAATGAAATCAGTTAAGGATCCATCACATAGCCTTGCCTCTATCAAGTATGTCAACTCTGACTCATATAGGCTTCAAGCCTTGTTCTCCCAGAGTCTAGGAAGCACCAAAACTAAAGGATATTAAAAAAAATTAAAAAGTGATGGTCTTTGGAAAGTAAAGTAGTTTGTGAGTTATGGAGATAGACAGTTGCACCTCATACCTATGAATCTTAGGCCTCTCTTTGTCCCCCTCCCTACCGCTTTCCCTCTGCATTGGTTTTGACAGTAGGTCTTGACTAGGACCTGAAGAAAAATTCGGTGGGATAAAGATCTAAGGGCTGGAAATCTGCTCTGAAGACAGGTTTCATTTCAGTTCTCTTTAGCCACATCAGTACCTACTCAAGAGTGGCCACCTGGACACCCGCTGCCCCACATCTCGGACACGAAGCTTACAGCGAGCCTTGGAGGGGCTTGTTTCGCACCCTTAGCTAGAGGGGGAATCTCAGTGAGTCTCAAAGTAGATGCCCAACTTCCAGACATCCATTTGTAAGTCCCACGCGATGGGACTGGGAGGGATCTCATGTGAATCTAGTTATGTAAGTGGGGCAATACATTATACTACTCCCAGACTAGTCCCATAATACTGCTGTTCAGTATCATCATTCAAGAGTATCCAACAGTATTATATTTTTTTCTTATTTAAATTTGGCTTTTCTTTCAGAACAAGCATTTTCTGAATTCAGAAGTTCTTTAGAGGATATGTTCAAAGATAATCAGGTGCCAAATCTATCTCAATTTTTTAAACTGCTGTCAGTCCCATTTTCTGAATGCTTTTCAAAGGAAAACAAGAACCATTGATCCCACTCCCAATAAGTTAAAATAGAATAACAACACTTCAAACAGGTGCTTATTAGATTATTAAAAGCGAGCTTTAAATGAAACCCTCCTAATGACTGTCAGTAATTTCCAAAACTCAATGATACCTTTAGGTATCTCAACATGAAAGATGCAAAACTTACCCCCTTATAATGGATCATATGGCCCTCAACGTTCACTTTATAGGTCTCAATACCCAGCTCTTTTGCCAGTCGGAGAACCCGGTTTTGGGTAGGTCCCACATACGATCCACCAACATCTACGTAATTAACTTGATTGTTCTGTCAAAAGAAAGAATACAGGAATCAGAAACTTGTGCAGGAAGCTCCTCAATACAAACATATAGAAGCAGAAAGAATTACTCCATACCGACGAGCACTGCAACTATATGCACAGGAGAAAATGTGTACTGACCGACTTAAAAATAGACAGCATTGTGCTCTGTAACGACACACAGAGATCACAGTGTCTCCATCACGCGCATGTTTAAAAACTGAGTTTAACTTTCACTATAGTTTTCAGTATTGGCTTCTTAGTCTCACAAAAGATGAGAGAATATGAAGAAAGAACCAAAGTGTTGATTTGGTTGGATAAGTCTAACCCCATTTTTTCAGAATTCACATTACTTTTCTTGTCATTGCAAAACATTTCTCAGGTTGAAACCATCTTCAGCACCAAGGCTTGTTTTCTCTTTGTAGATACCTACTTAGACTTAATGCTGTAGATGCTGAGCACTGCACTGCAGTATTCAAGGAGAGTAATCTCCTTTCCGGCACAGCACACCTTGGCTTTAGCCTGGTGTGCTCTGGCTAGCAGCCCTCAGCCATGCCTGCCACCGAAGGTGCTCCACACACCCCTGAGACCAGCATCAGGCTCACTTGGGATGCAGAAAGCACGCAAATAGTTTCAGGGTCGCATACTATTACAAGCAGGCTGATTTCCCCAGATAGTAACTCTTTTTAACACTGTTTATAGTGAGCATTTTAAGCTAGGCATTCTCAGTGTCACAGAAGAATGGTGTTTATGCTTCGTATTTCACGTACAATGAGTTCTGCTGAAACACCATGGTTTATCTCTGGTTCCCCAGCAATGGCATCTGACATAATTTAAACCTCCCTTACCTCCAGGGTGGGAAGCAGAGGTAATGACTGTATTATATTACCCTGTGCCACAGGTGACTCGTCATTTCTTTCATTTTCTTTTTAATGGCAATCAAGACACGATCCATTTTTAGAAGCAGGAGTGTTATTTCAGGTAATTTTAAGCCACGTTAAAATGTATGTCTGAGCTGTAATGACGTCTGGCCCTACTCAGGTTGCTTCTTACAGGGTTCTTAGTAATCACACCTGTTACAGTATGTAAAATGAGATGGGAATGAGAGGAGAAATGCTTTGACGCTCATGGTCTCATATGATAGTTTCCCTCTGTAATGTTAAAGGCAGAGCAGATCCTGCCATGGACAAAGGGTATGGACTATGTGGGTAGAATTCAGTTACCTTAACACAGATGTTTAACACCATTTTAGACAGCCCAAGGCATCCAAGACTTCTGCACAAGGCTGACAAATTTGACCCGTGACCCACAGAAGACCTGCAGCTGGAGGCCAGGCAAGGTATCCTAGGACAGCTAAAATGGCACTGCACACTTCTGGTTAGGCACCCAAATCCCATTTCATGGCTCTCAGAGTTGCTTTCAGACTAATTTTAAAGCACGTCCAGTCAAGAGAAGCCCACTGGCATATATTGCAAAGCAATCTGTCCAAACAGAGCTCTATTACTTGACAAAAGTGATGGCAACTTGGGACACCTGTCTTCTTTGGGAACTCTACCGAAGTCTAGGTAGACAACATCCACTGTTCTTCCCTGTTCTACCAAGCCAGTCATTTCATCATAGAAGGTTATCAGGTTGGTCAAGCACGACTTCCTCTTGGTGAATCCATGCTGATCACTCCTGATAACTGCTGACTGATGACTTTCTTGTTCTTCATGTGCCTTGAAGTGGTGTCCAGGATTAGCTGCTCTATCACCTTCCCAGGGACTGAGTTGAGGCTAAGCAGCCTGTATTTCCCTGAGTCCTCCTTCTTGAAGATAGAAGTGACATTGGCCACATAGTAGACTAGCACAAGTGAGAGTCCAGCATCTCATGAAGCACTTACTCTGATAGTGAATGTCCTTCCTCCAACTCTATTTCGGGCCTCAAGAACCACCACGCTGACCCCAGACTCAGACAGCAATTTGGCAGCAGACAAACCTACCAGAAAAAGAAAAAGAGCTTTAAAGCAAGTGGCAGCAATGAGTCATATTAATCGTCAAAAACTGAACCAAAGCTTCAATGTAAGAGATTTCAATACTGTTTTCAAAAACTCCTGAGAGAACCCAAACTTTTCATGGTGTCTTACCACAGAAATCATGTGGCTGCTGCTTTGTTGCATGTTATAACCATCTCCACAAGTAGCATCCACAGACTGAAGTTTCCTCCTTCAGGTTAGCATTTTGGCATTTTAAAAACAGTAAAATCTCAATTATTAAGGAACACTTATCTTACTCTTTATTTGCGCAGAGAATAGAAAGGCAGAACCCAGCTTGTGGGGCTTGCAATGCTAAAGTGATAGAAATAATAATGTACGAAATAGGCACGTTCCAGCAAGGTAGGCTTTAAACTTCTCTCACTCATCAACTCTCCACACTATTGCTATCCATCGTCCTCATTCACATGCAGAAAGAAAGTCTGCTTCACTGTCAAGATTCATTTTAAGTAACAGAGTTTGGCCATGGCAATCAAAGAGGCTGTATGCAGATACTTTACAAAAGGAATTACGGTCCCACCAAAAATCATCTAATTACGGGACTTTGTGATAGAGGCACCAGAGACAACTGAAAATTCAATAGGACAGGAGTCCTCTTTGCTTTTGACAAATGAGCACTGAAATTGTAAAAAGCAATCATGAGTTTGTGAAATCAGATTATCCCATTGCCCTGCAGGCCAATTTGGCACTGAAGCATTGTTTTTTCGGAGTTGTTTCCCCTCCTTAAGTATACCAAAGCCAGCCTTATTGATCAGAACTTCCAAGATACCCTGCAGTAAGGAATAATAATATTATATTCATGTTTATTACACTACCTCGAAATGTGATTAAAAGCAGCTGTTCGTGAGCCTACAAAGAATGCACGTCTGAAAAGACCAGAGGAGAGGAATCATTCTGGGCAGCGTTAAGTGTACTCATTTATTCTGAGGGCAATACAGAACAGCCCATAAACTTCTGTGCACATAATCTTCTAATAGGGAAGTGGAACAACATACACTGGAAACTAGAACTGAGGAAGTTCAAATGTCTTACATTGACAAAAATTGTATGTAAGATTTCCACACTCAGCTAAAAATAACTTTACATCTTTGTACCATATTCTTTAGATTGCTGCTGGAGCAGAAGTATACTTAATTCTTCCACCTGTTTAATAGTCTACTTTTTAAAAATCCAAGACATTTGTCAGTGGAGTGAACATCTTATAAAATGATCTGATTTCTTTCAGTAGTTTTTGATCCTTTTTTTCCTGCATGAAAGTCTATAGAGAACATTTTACAATTTTTTACAGTTAGTTCTTTAATCCTTTCAGTGATGGTGTTCTCTTCTTCCTCAACAGAAACATAGAAGACACCAGTCTATAATGTTGGAAACACAAACTGCAGTATTTTCTTACAAATATTTATATTTTTTTATATGAGGAAAAATACACAGTGGGTTTTGTCATAAAAAAGTGAATTTCCTACATATATAATATAAAATGTTGAATTTCTCTATTCTGCATAAATACCACTGGATGCCCAGGCATGAGTGGGTAATTCTTTTGTGAGAAAGTTTACTGTAGATGTATACATCTTGAAAAAATGCACAGCGCATTCATGTGTCACCCTATGAAACATGAAGCAGCAAAAATGTGGCCTAAGTATGAAAAAAAAAATAAATTGTATGCAAATCCTCAGTGCCTCAGACCATCGTTTCATGCTGTATATGATAGCTATATTCACACCATAGCTGTTTTGGAAGAGTAACAGTTGCATTGGACTGGGTTGGAAGTTACGCTTACTACTGGTTTATAGCCTGATTATGAGATATATCCAAATAAAGAACTGCTAAGGATGAAGAACATGTGGTAATCTGACTGAGGTTCTCTAACCTGTTCGCTTGTTAAACTGTACTTTCACTCCAGCCTTACAGGTTTGTAGTTTCATTATTGTTAACCCATGTGTCACCTTAGACACTGATCAAAAAAAAACCAAAACCAACAAAAAACAACACCCAAAGGCTTCAGAGCTACACAAACTGGGAAGGGGTAAGAGATACATCAGGATGGCTTACTGGTAACTGGAAGAGTGCCTGACTCAGAAATTAAAACAATGCAAAATACGTTGATTAAAGATTGTTACTACACATTTATTTGTTTAAAGCATGGAAGCAATTTTCTTTCAAAATGGAGGACGAGCAACACCACCCCCACACGGGGTATCTCTGTGTACCCGTCTACTGAACCCAACTCCTTAGCTCCCTTCTGGTGTGACCAGGTGCACCAGACACAGGTGCTTCCACAGGCATGTCTTCAGCATCCCACAGCTCACGAAGCCTACGGGCTTTTGATACACAATTAACCTCTAAATATTTTCCCTTTATCTTCTCCATAACTTGAATTTCCAAGACATTCATCGCTGTTCCAGTACCCTCGACAGGACTGGACACCAGAGAGCGACTATTTATTTCTGTTTGATCAGTGGGGCGAGAGAGAGGAAGGAACGAGACCTCCTCCGTCCCAGCTCCTTGGCCCACCTCTGGCGGCTCAGCTCCCCTCCGGCCCCACGGAGCCCGCCTCTCGCCTCCTCTCCAACACCTTCCCCAGAGGACATAGCGCACCTTCCAGGAGCTGCCAAGAGGGAGGGCAGGGCCTTCGTACCACGAGGGTCTCCCTCAGGCCGCAGCCAAGACTCAGGCGAGGTATTTTACAAGGTACGGCTGAGGCACAGACATGCCGGTCACAGCCGAGGCCGCTGCTCTGCCCCATTGCCGCCTCCACCTCCTCCAAGCGTAGCCTAGAGATAAAGCTACAAACCACCCCAAATCATCGGCCGCGTTCCTTCCAGATTTCACTCTAATTCTATGAATTAGAAATACATTACTTGCCTCAGAATGTTGAAAGGAGCCTGCCAAAACCATGCCTCACTTGAAGTATCTGGCTTGTTATTAGATGAGAATAAACAAGGCGAGAGGACTTCTACATCCTCCACAAGGGTTTCTATGGCAATCTCACAAGAAGCTCCCCCCGTCTGAAGACGCCATGCAGGAAAGCTCTGTTCCTATTGATTTTGCAGCTCTATAAGGACTCAGAATTGCTGCTGCCACAGATCATACTGCTGTTGCTTTCATTTCCGAAAACTGTCGTAATCCTATCAAGCAAAGCAGTTTCAAGCGCATCAAAACACTGGATATACAGTTTAAAAAAAAAGAAACTAAGATTAATTTATGGCAATCTGCAGACTACAAGACATACACCATGGCTGAAACATAGAGATGCTGAACAATACTGAATTTTGTATGTAGCCTGATGGAAAATACAACAAAGCATGTCTCCACCTCATAGGAGGGAAAGGTTCAACTCTACAGGTAGTGCACAGGACTGGGACTTAAGAGACCTGAGCTTGATTCCCAACCGAGCCTTGTAACGTGGGAGATGTTTCCCTGTTTTGTAGGGAAGCATTTATAAGGGTAGTGTTTATAAGGACAATTCCAAGTTGCCTCCATTCTGGGGTTGATACAGGGCGTATGAGCAGATACAACAAGTTCTGTAGCACAAACGGTGTGAGTTTTTCAAAAGTTATTTTATTGGAAACATGATAGTAATTCTCTAGTAATAGTATAGTAATACTATTTTTCAAATCTAGGCTCTGTAAATCCACAACATCAAATCGATTCACAGATACACCATGATCAGAAGCAAAAATCAGCAGCATCTTTCCCAGAGACAGCACTTCTTACGTGATGTGTGCTGAACACCTCCAAAACATGCAAGGGCAGTGAAGGGGAGTGATGACAGTCTGATACCGTTAGCATTTTAACTTTTCAAACTGAGGCCGCTATGTATGTGCCATACGGAGCACACCAAACAAAGGCCTTTTATGGATCCAATATTGGGCTATAAGTTCACCAAAACCAACCTAATACAACATTCCTTCATAAAATCCTTGTTAATCCCCCCTACTGTACATGGAGTGGGATAATTACATCATGTGGAAGACAACTAACCCATTACTGTAGTGTTCTAGCAGGCTTTAATTGAGTAACATACGGAAACGATCTTTCTGGAAAATCTCTACATTTTTCTGATCTTAAGCAGGGGAATAATTTTAAAACTTTTTCACTCATTATTCTAATATAAAGCAAGACAATTGTCAATATATCCTCGTTAAAGTTCCACTGTAACAGCATGCTAATGCTGTGATTATTTTTACTGTTTCACTGATGGAAAACCTAACTTTTTCCAAACACAATTGAGTAATTAGATCTGGCAATGGCCACCTCAGAATCAGTTCTCATTATTCAGCTAGAAGTCTTTTTGCTAAATAAACATGAGCCTCTCAGTAAGAGACGTAAAACATTTCTGCCATGACCATAGGGGAAAATCTCCCTTCCGTCACCTCTTTCTTCTCCTTCTTCCCCCTCCCTGATTTTCTCTTGATTGGAATTTCTGTGCACACCACAGTATTTAAATAAGTTTTAAAATATAGTTAAAATGTACTCAGTTACATCAAACTGACCACAGAATCACTAATGGGCGACAACATATAGAAGGCTGAGAATGAAAGAACTGTTTTCTTTCACAGACTAAGGATTTAAAGATTTAAAATTGCCATGAAAATGAAAAAAAAGGTATTAATTAAATTATAGTCCCTTAAGTTTGCACAAAACAGCAAGAACACACAGTGTGGATCACAACTCTACATTCATTTCTTCTTCAGTGTTGTCTAATACCATGACATCACTAACTCTCTGTTTGTCAGAAACTGTATTTTATCTTTCCATACATTCTTTCACAATCCTTGTTGTAGAATACTTGATACTGGGGATGAGGTTGCATTTATTTATTAGGTCATTTTCAGGTAAATGTTTTTCATTTCTTTTCATCAATTCTTTTTTTCCCTCTCTAGCAAAAATAATTGATTCAGCAAAGATTTCAACCAAAAGAAAATAAATATTTTTTAT